CTTAACGAATGCCGAATATAAATATTTTTTGTAAAAGTAAAGTTAAAAAATAAGATGAAAATGATTTAAAATTGTGCGTGCTAAGTATTAGGTACTTTATGATAGATTTATTTTCGATGGCAGTTTAAACTCAAATCAAAGTAAAACCCATATAAACATATTTGCTATGAGTACATATCAATGCGATGCTTCTCAAATATTTATTTTTATTAGAGTGCTTTTTAATATATATCAATGTTTTTCTGAGATTTAGAATTTACTTTATTTATTTATTTTAACTTTTTACTTCTAAATCTATGCTTAATTTAATTAATTTGTTTGTTTCAATAATGTGTCAATATTTGATATTTGAAGCTGAATTAAATTAGCTCTATAAGTTTTTACTTGTAACGCGACACATATTTCTCAGATATCAACTCGCTTGCCTAATGAATAGCAGTACAAATAACTAAATATCATACCTGTATATAAGTACAACAATATACGTTTCTAAGTAAATATAGATATCCCATCCATGTCAATCTCATGTTATACCAAAATTTAATTAAGATATAATCTAGTACATTAATAAAAGGAGAACCAATGGGTTTTGCTTTCAAAACTCTATGTTATTTGTTAAACTAATTACTCAATTTCTTTCTATTTAGACAGATTGTAATTTATAAGAAAATACATTAAAAAAAATGTCAATATCATGAAATGGAGATTGTATCCAATACACAACTAGATATCCTTCTGATGATATACCAAATACATTGATTTCTTTTTTATCACAATGTGGAGTAAAATTGTTTCATATTTTCATCAATTGTACTACATTGCTTGATTTTATTTAGGAAGAATTTGGTTTTTATTTTATTTGGGAGTCTCTGATTTTCCAAGGAGCTTTTCCACCATGCAGAGTGCGCGATATGACAGATATGAAAAAGAAGAGAAACGGAGGTGCAAAAGAAAAAAAAAACAAATAATCTCTTTGAATAAGAAAAATTGGCGGACGTAAGATACATATACCGCCAGAACCGGCGACTGTGAAAAGAGATTTCGATGCTAGGGATTCCGAAATACATACATCTACATATATTATGTCAACTGGGATCCCTGTACTAGAACTGATTCGAAAGAAACATTTATAAAGAGTATTATGTATTTTGAAATATTGTGCCAAATTTAAAGATTTCTACCATTTATATATAATGTTGCTGTGCATGAAATTATTACGAACGCAAATAATTATGCCTATTGCTGTGTATTGATAATTATTCAACTATCAAAAATTACAAAAAAAATCAAATCACAAGAACGTACATATTTTAATTTAATTTAAAAGATAAAGTTCGAATTCTATATGATATAGACCATGTGGTTTAATTTAATTAATTTAATTTGTTCTAAGGTATGCCAAAATGTTCAGAAACCTTTGAAACATTGAAACTTTTGCGATTGCAATAAATATTAAATTTTGAATTAAAAAAAAAATTATTGCCTTCTCCAAATATTAAAATTTTTTCCACACAGTCGGGAAGTTGAAATATCCATAGAAATTATGTCTTGTGTTATCATATGTCTAATGTAAAGTAAGGCAGAAATAAATATTGAAACGAGTTTCGACTAACACCAGTTTTGAAAGGGTAACCAGAATATATAATATCTCGTCCTTTACCATAGTGCTCCTCTGAGCCATTTTCGTGGGCAACTTAAAAGTGAAGTCACATACTGTAACGGTTTTATACAAAGTGTCTATGGTTTTATAAACTTTGACATACATTTGATAAAAGCAGAGCTTCTAGAGTGCCTTCAACGGCGTCAATAGTGAAAACGCTTAAAATATGTGATGATGGTGAACATTGTATAAATATCTTAACGTGGTGTAAATTAACTGTATTACTCACATGTACGGTAGTTAAGATTTTGTTATGATGGTAGGGAATATTTTGCTTATAGAAATTTTATAGAAGTAGGTGACTAGCTGGTTGAGAAGTGATTGTACGCATGTTTGTGTAATATCCCCTTAAGACAATTTACAACTAGTGGTGCATGGCATTGTGCCTGGAGGCTAAGTGCTGGAACTTACCGTATCATAATATAAAAATGTTTAAAAGCTCAAAAAAGAAAAATTTGATTTTTCGGGATTTTTTTATTTCTTTAAATATTTTTGAAAATTTTGTAAACATTTGAAAAATCTGTATATTGTATTTGAATATGCCTTTTGAAAGCTCAGAAAAGAAACATTACATTTTTTTGAAATTTTTAATTTTTTTTAATCATTTTTGAAAAATTTTAAAAAAATTGAACGATTTGAAATTTGAATTTGAACATGCCTTTTATGAAAATTCTGATATTTTTTGAAAACCTGGAAATTTTTAAAAACTAAAACTTTATGAACTTTTTTTGAAAATTTTGAAATTTCATTACATTACAAAATACATGATTTTCGATCGTCACATTGTGTTTTTTTTACTTCTTTCCTCCGAAACCGCTGAACTTACTTTTGCAAAAATTCAATCAATTTTTCATTGCGTCAACACAAGTGAAATATTTTTTGAATTATTCAAATCGGATTCTCCATTCTCTCACAAACTGAAGTTCCACTTTCTGCACTCTTTGGTCCGTATCTCCAAAACTGTTGGACTAACTATTGCTAAAAACTGATCAACACATCTCGTTATCAATGAGAATCGAATGATTTAAATAATTCATATCGGTTGAGCGGTGAACAAAAAATAGTATCCACACATACATACAAATACACACATACATACATCCATTTTTTCTAAGGTACGCTCAAATGTTCAGAACATTTACATCTAAAAAGTAAAGATACGTAAAAATTTTCATTTAAATTTTTTGGAGAATTACTTTAACCTACCCCATGGTAAGTTAAAAAATGAATTTACCTTGTTACATGGCATTACCATGACATACCTATTTTATCGAAGAATTGGGCTCTTATTTTCGATTCCAAAATCTTCGTATTTCGGAAACTGCTAGATCTGCCTTTTCCACAAAAACACTACACATTGTCAATGCGAATTGACTGCTGAATATGTGATTTGTTTTTCCTCCAAATCATATCCTCAAAATATACTTCCAAGTATTTTAAGGTAAAAATGGTTTAACATATTGAAACTCAAATTCAAAATAAAAATCTCTTTGGCGCTATTTTGTTAACTTGCTCTCTGTTTGAAGTTAATTGTTAAGAATTCGTAAAATATATTATTACGAGTCCCAATAGTGTAACATGAACTATTTTTTGTAAGGGTCGTCTGTTACGCTAGACTAGAGTGTCGCTGGACTATGATGCAGGTGGTCTACATGTCATTCACAGTTCAAGTGCTAAATGAATTTATAATATAAGACAGCGGTTTCCAACCTTTTCTTCCTTGCGCCCCCCTTTTGAATGAAAAAAATATTGCGCCCCCCCCCTTCTTATTTTTCTAACAATTTAATTTAAATATACTTAATATAACTGAAATTATGCCAAATAATACACGGTATTAAAAAAATATACATACAAACATAACTATTTATTATAGAATTTTCTGTTTCACATAAGTAAGATCTCACAAATGGTAATAAAATTCTGAAGCATTATTTGTCAAAGTAGGAAAATCGTCCTTCACTGGTAACCAAAACTCAACAATATATTTTCGTCCTAAAATATCTGGTTCAATGTGCTATCACTAGATAAATCAATTATCATTTTCTGCTCTGCTGTTGAATGACCAAAATCATCATGTTTCTCAATGACAAATTGATTTCTAATCCATTCGTATTTGGACGTAATTAGATAAAGTAATGCGAAAATTGGTTTCGTAGACTAGTCATATGACTGATATAATAATAAGATCTTTACTTACTTCTATTTCATCAGTAACACAAGTAATTTTAAAAGTGGGAAACATGTTAAAGTTATAAAGTTATTTGATACTAGCTATACACAGTTCTAATTTTTTCATAAAACCCGTAATCTTGTCTTTCTGAACAAAAGCACGAATTTGAGACCCTTGCATTGATTTATTTAAATCGCTAAGTCTTTGAAAAATATCAACTAAATACGCAAATTTTGCGAGGAACTTTATGTCCTAAAACAAGATTGCTCCGTTTCTTTTGTTATCAGCAAGAAATATAGCAATTTCTTTTTTGAGCTCAAACACTCTTAAAAGTACTTTAAGTATTTTGCTGATTTGTTTTTGACACTTACTCAGCATTTAAAAATAATATTTTTGAAACAGCTTCGCGCCCCCCTTGGAACGGTATGGCGCCCCCCCAGGGGGGCGCGCCCCACAGGTTGGAAATCACTGATATAAGATATTTTTTAATTTTGATGTTAGTTATATGTCTGGACTGTCTATATCCGCGTCGGTAATTTTATTTATGGGTCTGCAAATGCCTTGAGATAATTCCAAGGATTCTCAGAAATCATCCCCCTTAGATGTATAAATTAATGTAACCCGCCTCTCACAGGCGGGGCTAATATTGTTAATTTTTATTTTTAATAATTTTATTCAGTATAAGTTTAGAGCTCAGTATAGAAACACCAATTATCTGATGCCATTATATTCACCATATTTTATTATAATAAACATATTAATATCAAACGTCGCCTTTTACTTAAATAATCACCGATCACACCAGTAGTTCAATTATAGAACAAATTTAAAAGTGTAGTGGTTAGGAGAAGTAAAACGACAACACCCAGTCAGACGTCGGAGTAATTTTTAAGCTTCGCGCCTTAACATTAATTATTGATTAACTAGGCCACTAGCTGCCTATTTAAAAACACATATTTTTTACGAATTGGATGCATTGAATAGATCGACTACCAGTTGATTGGCTTGTACGTCAACTTTTTTCTCGCAGCTTGAAAGACAAGAAATACATAGAACAACCGACGAGAAAACAAGGGAAAACTAAAAAAATGATATCGCCGGTAACTTGTATTGACTGCATAGCTGCAGCAAAACAAACTTTATGTGGATAACCGATATCATTTCCCTCAGCACTCCACTACACGGCAGCAGAGCCGACAGCGAGAGGCACGACGCAAAAGTGCGCCGCGCCTGATGCTGCTCCACCGTACTACGTATATCAGTGGATGAAACTTTCTGGTGATAATATTTAGATATACGACCGACCGCGTGGGAATATTATTTTATAGCGTGAAAAATACGATTTATTGCAAAAGTTTCAAGAAATATGCGCGTGAGTCGTGTACAGAACCCATGGGGTACATGAAATTCTATGTCTGAAGGGGTACATATGAGAGCAAGCATTGGCATCTGAAGCTGAACTGAAGAAACTATGTGTGGAAAGATTATGAGGTTGCCATCAAGGTTTCTATTCATATTTTCAAAATTTATATAAAAAGAGGTAGAGTAAAGGTAAAGGTAAAGCACCAGATGGAGGTAGAGTGGAGGTAAAAGTAAAGCACCAGATATAAGCCAATTAACCTAATTCTATTACATATGTGCTTTTATTAAAGTGATCTTTCGTGATTGATTGTTCAGCTGTATTAGATGCACCATCGAGAGAAATATCACATTCAGCATCATAATGTATAAAAGCATTTTACAAGCATATTAGCAATATTTAATTATGTGAAAATAAAACAACATGTATCACCGAACATAACTCATAACAAACAACCAACTATCGAAATATGTACATTTCCTAGTTATTACCTAGATATATAAATATGTTTTTTTCGCTATTTTTCTAAAATTGTTATTTGTTATCTGTCATTTTGGGATAGAAAACTCTTTTGCATATATTGCATTTAGAAGTGAAAAATAATGCAATGATATACTTAGTTTGTATATGTGAAAATTATTTCTACTTACAGTTACGTAGTCTTTTATATATTAATATAAATTACATTTTATTTAGGAATTTACTACAAGTGAACTTTTTATCATCCTTTTTGCAACGCGTGAGATAAGAGAAAACCTAACTAGTCTTCTTCAAATTACTCATAATATATTATAACCTCTGTAATCTTCTTAGTTTCTAAACGGCAGTTGCTCTAGAAAGTAGACATCACATAGTCTGCAAGTTGTTACAACCTTATAGCTAGTGGAAAATATATATTTGACCGAAAATTATTTGAGAACTCTTAATGTATAATAATGTTTAGATATTTTTTTTTATTTATATGTATGTTCTTTATACTTTGTGTGGTTCCTAAATGTGTATCTGCATCAAGTATTGCATGTTTTATTTAATTGTCAGTCTATAATCCAATATAAAATATTTTATTGAAGAGAAGAAATATCTTATGTATTAATTTTCTAAATATATACAATAGTTGTCTCTTTGGAAAGAGACATAATTCTTTGAAATTCTGATATTGTACTAATGTTTTTCATTTTCATTAAAATAATATAATACATGCACCTATCCACCATTTCACTCGGTACTCATTTTACACGTTTTCAATTTTATACAGTTTTTGAGAATAACATTTTTTTTTAACAAAACGATTGCATTCCAAATTTTCTTATCATTTTCTTTTACCAATTGCCTTCGTTCTCTGGCTATTTCCAGCTCCCCCATGAAGGGCATAAATGCTGATTTAATTTTGGCCCGTTAGTATAGTTCCTCGAAGAGTTTTATGTTCTTGCATTCACTAAGAACAGCGATTGCCGCAATTAATAAAAAGACCGCCGAAAGTTTTAATGTTAAGTCTTAACGTGGCGCAAGCAGCACCAGATTGTCTGATGCGCGCGGTTTTCAAACTCATAAATCAACAGCTATTACAATTAATTAAATCCCCGGGCCATTAAAATATTTCCCAGCCAAGTCGAGAGCACACAGTTGAGTGTGTTTCCTGGTTATTTCAGTTTTGTGTTCAGTTGGCCTGCCTGTACGCGTGCAATTTTTTGCTTTTTCTAACTTTGTTTTCATATATTTTGTTTATTGGACGCGCCGACGCGATGTGTTCTAATTATTTCGTCTGCACTCCATACTGGCGAGTTAAAAACTTCACCGATAGTAGGTATTAGTTCGGCAAAAAATTAGAAGTATTAATCAGAACTATTTTCTCATTTAATAAAGCACTGGTCTCACATTAATATTAATATGAATTTAAATATGAACTAGTGGCGCATGGCGTTGTGCCTAAAGGCAAATTGCTGGAAATTCCCGTACCATAATTTAAGGGGCACAACTAGTGTACCTGCCTAAAAAAGGTGATTTTTGGGAATTTATATTAAAAAAACTCTTTCATCAATCATTTCAAAATTTTAGAAATATATTTATACATGTCTTAAAAATACATAGCAACATTTTTGAAGAAAAAAAATTAAATATTTTTCAAGTTATCGCCGATCTCCAACGGCGCGACAAAAAAAGGCCCTCAACTGCTGCTGTGATTCCGGCCTTCTACGTGGATGAAATAAAAAAAAAATTCTCGTTAAACTAGATAATATTGTCTGTAAAATGAACTACGATAAACAAAATAAATCAAAAATTGACAAAATGGCGTCGTTTTAGAAAAAAAGTCGAATTTTACCCAAAATTTTGTTCGTTTTTCGACTGCCAAAATTCGACTTTTGATCCGATCAAAAAATCGATAGTTCATTTCACGGAGAACTATATGAAGAACATGTAAAAAAATGTTGATGGTGATCATTCGTTTTTGAGTAATCACTGCAGCAAATCGGAAAAAGCTGTTTCGAGAAAAACGCGTTTAAAGATAAAATGATCGTTGTACTATATACTATATATATACTTTTTAAATGGCTGTAACTCAAAAACTATTTGAGATAATAATTAGAAATTTTAATATATTATTTTTAAAGGTGTAATCTACCGAAATATGAAAAAAACCAAAAATCGATTTTTTCGAAATTTCACACTAGTTGTGCCCCTTAAAATTAAAAAAAATTAAAAAATCTTTTTGAACATTTTTGAAAATTTTGAAATCATTTGAAGAATTTAAATATTGAAAAAACTGAAAAACACATTTTTTTGAAAATTCTGAAATTTTGAAAATTGATTTTTTTTGAAAATTCTGAATACTATCATGTTGATTGATCCAGATTGTCAAAAATATCTGATTGACGCCAAATGGCATTTTATTTTAACTTTTTTTTCACGATCTCTGAAACAACTGGACCTGCCTTTGCAAATGTTTATTCAATTCTTCAATACGTTAATAAAATCTTATATTTATAAATGTAGATGAATCAGGAATGTTATTTTTCAGAGTGATTGTTATGTTGAGCAAAAATTATGCAAAATTAGTAAGAAATGTAAATAGATAAAATATTTTAAAATATTCGACTGGAAAGTATTTTGTTTATTATATTATAATAGCAAGTTCTTAGACACTTCTAATCGGTATGCAATATATGGTGGTATGGATTGTATAGGTATAAATATAAGAGTAAATTAATTTCTATTGATTGACATGACTGTTGTATTAGAATGTAAGTTGATGTTTTATTGAGAAATTGTGTGATGCAATAATTATGCATTGGTGTTTCTGAAATATTAATAAAAACGATTGTCAATGGAAAAAAAGTGGGATGTTTTTTGAATCATTCAAATCGGGCGCTCTGTTTTTTTACGATAGCAATTTTTTCACTTGATTGCAACTTTCTGCACTCTTTGCCCTGTATCTCCAAAACGGCTGAACCAACTTTTGTCAAAAACTAATCAGCACGTCCCCTTATCAATAGAAATCGAATGTTTTTTGAATAATTCAAATCGGTTAAGCGGTGGTCCTGGAAACGTCGACAAAAATGTGTATCCGCACACACACACATATGCAACCATTTCTTCTAAGGTATGCCAGAATGTTCAGAAACCTTGAAAACAAAAGATATATAAAAAATTTCATTTTTGATTTTTTTGCGATTACTATAACTTTATATTTCTACAGTATCTACTTCCTCCGTCCCACGTATGCACCTGGATAAGACGGGCGCCTCACCTCTCTACTTCACCTGAGGCGCCGCTGTTTCACGCCGTCTCTCGACGTTGTCTAAACCGCACTTTCATATCTCGTTCTACCTACAATTCTCATAATTCAACAAGCTATTTCTATCATATATACGTTCGCTATTAATAAAGTTCAGGTCCTGCAAGAAAACAAAGAATCCGGCGCATGCGTCCTTTACAGACTATCCACGTGCTTTTCACAAAACATTTTCGCGTTTTCGCATTCAGTTCCCGCACGGCTGCGACCGGCGATTGTTGTGCGATAGACTCGACGTCATCGCCGCGATTTAGATTTTTTCGTGACTGGTTTTATTTGTGTTATAAAATTTATTTTGGGAAAACTACGGGAGTGTTTGATTGTTTTTATTGGCTCATACATTTCAGATAATGTGTGGTAATCGAGTTAGTGCGTAAACGAACTTATACTGAACAACAAACGCGAGCAGCTGTTAGGATAAGGTAAAATCTTTAAGGAAAAATAATTATTAAAAGTAATAATTATATCTATTAGATATTGTTGTAAATCTATTATCTTTCACATATTATCTTTCTCTTAAGAGAAAATGATCTTTGGGGGATATTGCTTCTATAATTATCTGTTTAGTATTAGAGAAATAATTATTATATTATATATTATTATTATTTATATTTATTATTTTAAATACAGAAACTTTCATTATTCGTATTTCATAGACAAATTAAAAAATTCTACAAATTAGACGACAACGTTTATATGTTTACATAAAAAGTAAATAAACAAAACTTGATCAAGCGGAGTTAGAGCGAAGGATTTTGTCCCATATTTCTTAAAATTATTTAAACTGAATTGCAAAGTTAACATTATTTTAAGTATATAAGTTAGTTTTAGAATGTTAGTTAAAATTATAATATGTACGCTTCTATGTTTATTAATTGGTAATGTTTTTCGAATAAAAACTAATCCGTTTTTCTTGATTCTTCATAACAATAGTTTGCAGATAAGGGTCTATGTCTCTGAAAAAACACACGTATCCCTCGTCTTCAATTTTTTAAAAATATTTTTTAACGAAATTTATTAATTTTGCATTTACATAAAATTATAAACACTATACTCTAATTTCCTTATATCTACAATATCATTTTCATTATTGTACTATCAAAATACAACACTACAAAATATTTGTTACCGTTAAGAATTTT